AATTTGCAAGGAACAGTTGCTTAGCAACAGTGGCTTCTCAATCTGGAGAAGCAGAGGCTGTGTTCAAAGGCTCTTCCGGATGTCACTATTCCGGACCCTGTCGAGATGCGTAAGGTCAGCGACTCGTCTAAGAAAGCCCATTTCAATAGCTTGTACCCGGGTTCGAAGTTTTTCAGTGATGGTCCACGATTCATGACCGTAGGTATGCGCGATCTTTTGACCTGCATATATAGCGGTTAACAATTAATGATATCTCGAAATACCGTATTCCGTTCTTTGTCATATCTCGTCATTGCATCATTGGGATTATCTTTGTCAGTATCGCAATCATCATCGGTGTCATCGCATACATTTTTTTTTCTGATCCTCCTAGTGACCTGTGAAATGTGTTCTTTAGAAATTCGCTCGAAGAACTCAAACCAATGCTGGAATATCTGGATTTGTCGAAGAACTGCTTACGCAGGGTACCGGCGCAGAACATTCGAGGCTTTCAGCGGTTGTCTGCGTTGGATCTGAGCCACAACGCCATTGAAGATGTACCGAACCTGCAGTTCATGAACCTTCCGGCTCTTAGGGAGCTGCAGATGGCCAACAACAGGGTGCTGCGCGTGATGCCGTTGGCGTTCATGAACGTGCCGGACCTGGAGATCTTCAATGTCAGCGGCAACAAGATCGTCGATATCGACGCGAATCGTTTCCAGCTGTTCGAAAAGCTCGAGGTCTTGGACCTGAGTGGCAACGGTCTCGATAAGGTAAATTTCCGTTTCGTAAATGCTCAAGGACAACTATATTTTCAATATCGCAATTCGCCACATGGAAGAAGCTCTTAAAATTTTGGAAAAAAATTTTATCTCATAACACCAGCTGCAAAATGTCAGAAGGCGCAATCTTCTCCTCTCGTATATGCGGATTTACATGGAGTATTCGTACCTTCTCTTTGATCCCATTCGTCCTTGACGTAAAACAAGCCACGGCTCCATGGTTTTATAATAGTTGGCATGAACGAATACATAAAATGCAAACCGCCATGGTTAGGTTGAGCAAAAGTATATCTACATAATGAAGATGAGTAAAACGTGCTCATTCAGACTGATAAAGCTATGGTTGTAAAAGATTTGAAAAGGCTGTAACGTTTGGTGTTGCGGCTTTAGCCCCTTAATGAATATGACATGTTTGTTGATCTCGATAAAGGTTCAATGCTTCTAGTGGCCGAACAATAAATTAAAATGATCGGTATTGTTATGAAACTGAAATTTAACCTACCTCATAAAATTATTGCATATTTTTGCTGCATCCCTGTGAGGCCTTTATTTTACTGATCATTACTTTCATTATGTTCAACTTTTTTCTGATGTTCAGCTTACAGAAGATTTCCGTCAACATCAGCAAGAGCCTTCGTCGATTCGCTGATGGATGAAAGCTTCTGCAAGAGACTTTGACATGGACTTCTGTTTTTTCTAAAATTTGTCGATCTTGATCCAGTGAACTTCTTTACTTCATCCTGCCATCAATCTGGAGGTCTTCTTGTGAGCCGTTTCCAATCTCTTAGAACCAAATCTAATGTATCTCTGCTTTGATAATTATTGATTCTTGCAACGTCTTCTGCGCTTTGTTGTTTTGACTTTTTCATGTAGGCAGTATCATTCGTCAGACTCTTGTTTGACAAAGGATGTGATGTGCACAAGTGACATCAATTTCAGCTATGATGTATCAGAAATGAGATATGAAATTAAAATGATGAATTAATTCATATCTAAATTCATTAATATCTTTTTGCAGAGGAGATTCGCGGACGTCGACTTTCCCCTACGAGGGTTATATGAGCATATCAGTAATGCGTATTATCTGTTACGCGTAGCAGCTCATGGTTTAAGCGCTGATCATGGTCATTCGTATGCCACTCAATAATAAACTGATAGCTTCATTACGGCATACTTCGCCAAGTTCTCTCCAGAGCTAATTATTGACATTGCCATAATATTCCTTCGTTATGGGTTTAAAGTAAATCCGCATTTGAGGTAAAGCCACAGACTAAGTTTCTCTGCATCAGTGACAGTTAGTTTCAGAATTCACTAATCCCATAATGAAATTTAGGTGTTATACGTTGCATCGTGCTTCCGACTGCTATATAATCCGAACCTTAGTTGTCCCCCCCTCCTCGTTCATCGTCGTCATAAAAGGTGTCAGATTCGGTTTCTAACTGCCTACAAGCTATTTGTGACCATGATAAATTTGTCTCTTAGTTGCAACTGCAGAGGTTCTATGAATCCCTATTCAGTGATTAGGATATTTTTATTCCTGTCCGTAAATCAAGAAAATACCCGTAGAACACTAGTTCTGGTCAGTGGTCATTCCTTAGGAATTTATGAAAGCTTGCTTGACTGGAGTTAACCGTCTTCAGCTGTTTTTAGTTCTGAATTAATCGTTGCGGTGCGCAACACTTCAATGAATTTTTTATTGATTCAGTCACAGTATGTCATCAGATGTACAGGACAGGACTAAACAGTTGTTCTTCTGATGATGAAGAAAATCAGCGTGGTGATAATGGAACAAAAGGATGCAGGAACGGAATGGGAAGGAGGAAATGAAAATATGGAAATGGATAATGCATAGGCACCGAGAGAAGAACAGCAGCACCACAAATAAGAAAGAGACAGGGTAAATGAAGAATTATAATACGAAGAAGGAAATGGAAAGAAAAAGAAAGAAAGAAACGACAGGGACTGAAAAGGATCAGTTGGAAAGAAAGCAGTTATTAGAGGTAGAAGAAAAATAAGGGTTTGGCAAAGATGCTGTTTACAATACAAGCTGGTATTGCATGAAATAGTTTTACGTCGTTAGTTGAGTTTGTTACGCGGGTACGAAGTTCTGCAACGCCAAGGTTAACAGAAATCTCATTTATCATAATTTCTGTTCTACGTAATCGCAGCTGTTCAGATTGAGCGATAAAATTCTGTAGGAGACTCTATGACAACAGTAGTCATTAACAGCAAAAGAATGCGCTAAATTTTCCGTTTTTAACAGTAAGTCTCATTTCTTTAAACCTTCGATGTATCAAGGCTTATTTGTTTTTCTTTCCTCTCACCCAGGGCCGTCGTTTTCAGTTGAAATAAAGGAAACGTAAGCATGTACATTTGGATGTCGGTTTCATTTAAATTTGCAAAATTAGGGGGGCCATTTGTAGCGCCTTTCTCATCAGGAAGTTAATGGTGGAGCGCTAATCCCAGTTTTCATGTCGTCAGTTAACAGATCCTTATTTTAAAGGCAAGTTTCAGCAGCAGAGTCAGCAGCAGCTTTGTTTCTTGTGTAGTCTGATGTTTCTTTCACACAAAATTGCAGTAACTTATCAACTCTAAGGTAGAGAAAAGGCGAGTGACTCGGCCGGCACTTGAACTTGCGACCTTGGAAATCTGAGTCCAAATCTTTATCGGTTGAGAAACTCTTGTCTCCAGTTAAGCGAGTAGGTGGCACAGGAAATTTAAATTTGTACTGTACTCTCTTTGGAGAATGACATCGACGGAGGCCTACGTTGCTCCCGTTCCCGGTTGGTAATCAGGTGTTCTGTTGAGGCACAACTGACTTGAGTAAAAAGCTTGAGGTGCCTTATCATCCCCAATTAGCGTTATTTCTTTAGCTACCGATTGTCCCTCCTTTGTGATAGCACACTCTGACCAGCTGCATAAAACTGTTTTGATCGTTGAAGAAATATTTGAGTATTTCGTTCATGCGTTAGTGCTCAGAGTAAAAAACAGCGCAAACACGGTTTAACACTACCCAGCGCAAAATATGGTCTAATATTTTCGGTGACCTACCGCAACAAATATTAATAATTATAAAAATATCTGCGATTATTTTTTGCCTATTAAAGAAGAGTTCAACATCAGAGAAGCTTCGGCGATTATTAGGTCAAATATTATCTTGAGTTGCATGATGTTCAGTGGCTCGGTGCTTGTCTGTAGAATTGGTGAAATAGAGCTGTGATGATTACTGTTTGCTGTTATTTGGCACTTCACGGGTTGGTGCTTGGCGAATGATAAGCATCCGTTTTAACTAACTACATTAACTGCTCTATTGGTCTCTAGCGCTACTGCTCATCGAGCATGATCAATCACGCGTCTCCCTCTGTGCCTCTAGATTGTGGAACAACCACTTTATTTTTTACG